TTTGATAGTGTTTTTCTCTTAAACGTTCCTTAAAACTGATGTCAGTGTTTCCTGCTCTGTAATTATTGTTTGCTAACATCAGGAGCAGCTTCCCAAAATAATCTTTCCTCCTATGAGTAGATCTTACCCACGTGATTTGTTCCAGTGAAATCAGTTATCTGTTTTAAATACTGCTTCTGAGATAAAAGGAGATTACAGCATCAGACCTCCCACAGAATTTGCTTGCCAGCTTAATTGTTTTATAAGCAGAGGCCCAGCCTGCTCTACTGAGTTTTGCTTGTGTAGCTGTACTGGTTCAAGATCTGAAATTTTCTTAGACCTTTGTTGATGGCAGAATCTGAGATGACGATGCAACTATTCTCTCTACCATGAGGACAATGTTTTTGTCTGTGTCATCTGGTGAGGGAGGTAGTGTAGCTGTGCAAATCAAAAAGAAATTAAAAAAAAGAAGAAATTAAAAAAGAAGAGAGCCGTATCTTCCATTAACATATAGCATATGTCGCTTGCAATTACCCTGCAGGAACAGTTATAGCAGCAGATGCACTATGGCATAGATGGGTCTACATTTGCCCATTTAAAAAAAATATTTCTGTCTTCCTTGCTGCTGTGTAAAAAAAAATCAACGCAACAACTAAGCATACAGAAAACCAGCAAACAGTGACACCACTGATTATTTCCTGTCACAGGCTGTATACAAAAGAGAGGGTGTGGAGGTGCTCGTGCTGCTGACCTGTTATTTCAGTGACATGACTGACCGCTTTCCTTTCAACCCATTGGAAACATAAGCTATGAATGTTTTTCTGCTGACTCACAGCTAAGTTAAATGGCTACAGTAGCCTAAGAGACTATGAAGAGTGATAATAAAAAGGCAGCATCAAGATACACCTGAAAACAAGCTGCTTCTAGCTGTCATGTGGGTTTTCTTCATAAAATACCCTTGCCACAGAACCAGCTCAGGGCTGCCCTCCACATTGTGCTCTCCTCTCCAGGCTGCTGTCTCTTAGATATAGTCGAGGGTTAAAAAGTCATTACTGGGTGCAAATGAAGCTGTGAGGTGCTTGCTAGGAAGCTGCCCTTTACCTACCTTCCATCTTTCAGTGTCCTGAAGTTTATTGAGCATCATTCCTTTATTTTGCAAAGTTGTGAGGATGCAAGTAATATGCTATTTAAACTTGGAATCATAGAACTTTAGAATTGTTTAGGTTGGAAAAGAGCTTTAAGATAGATCACTGCCAGGTCCACCAGTAACCCATGTCCCTAAACGATTTATCTACCCATCTTTTAAATACCTCCAGGGGTGGTGACTTACCCACTTCCCTGGGCAGCCTGTTCCAATGCTTGACAACCCTTTTAGTGAATAATTTTTTCCAGTTATCCAATCTAAACCTCCCCTGGTGCAACTTGAAGCACTTTGTTCTCATCCTTTCACTTGTTACTTGAGAGAAGAGACTGACACCCACCTCGCTACAGCCTCCTTTGAGGGAGTTGTAGAGGGCGATAAGGTCTCCCCTCAGCCTCGTTTTCTCTGGGCTAAATAGCCCCAGCTTCCTCAGCCGCTCCTCATAGGACTTGTTCTCTAGAACCTTCACCAACTCCACTGCCCCTCTCTGGACATGCAACTTGTCATAGAACGAATAGCTTCTGATATGCAAGGGTTATTGGATACGATGCTTTCACATAGGTTCATTTTTAGGAAGTGAATTTCATTATAATTGAATGCAGCATCTCCATTCCCAGGAAACAGGACTTGCATTGCAAGCGTTTTTTAACATCTTCTGAAATAAGTATCACTAATGAATCCTAATATTACAATGACTTCTCTATTTATGACATGTAATAGGCTTGCTCTGGACACCACATATTAATAATACAGTATCGATGTGGCATTTGGACTGCTTAAGTGAAAGTAAGGTCTCCCTGCTGACATCAGGTGTAATGAGCTTATGTCATCGAAGATAACCACAAAGTGTGAGCATCATGTAAATAATTTTCTATTCCTGTCTATTAAAGCTCTAGAAACTGGGAGAGTTATCAGTTCAAATACTGTATAAACCACCTTGCAACTAACAGAGAAGGGCAACAAAAATAATCAAAGTTGTGGACCAGCTTCCTTACAAGGAACAAAATAAAGATGGTAAAGCTCTTCATCCTGGAAAATGTGACTGAGAAGGGAGATGGGAGACACAGGGAATAGGTGACTACGGATGAATTTAATGAAGCTTCCAGTAGAAGAATATCAAATAATACAAGGAGAAGGCAGGTGCTGAACAAACAAACTGAGGTAATTCGTCACTGAACTCACACTTGGGCTATAGAGCACCCTGCTACAGGATGATGCAGATCTCAGAAGCTTACCTTGGTTCAAAATACAAGGCTAATTTGAGTTCCTTCACTAATGGCAAAATGTAAATGCCTAGAAAATAATGAAGGCACAGAGGAAGGAAAAAATCTATTAGAAAAAGTCAGAAATACATTGGCACTAAATGTTTGTCTAACCATCTGATTATTGGCAAAACGATAGCAAACTTCTAAAAGTACTTTAATGGATTAACCAAAATGAAAAAGCTGCTATGTAAATGACTTTCTCTCTTCTCCCAATTCTAGTTATTACTGACAAGAAACTGGAAATAATACAAGTAATTATATACAAACTGAAAGATGTTTGATAAATTATTTCTGGTTTTAATAATTTCCTGAAATATCTTATGCTCTTATATACAAATCAAATTATCTCATCTCATTTTACTCAGATGATGGTTTTGTTAAGCTCAGCAACATTTTTTCTAGGCCAGACATAACAAAATAGTATTGGATACTCATTGGGAAGCTGTTGCTGTATTTCCCTTGATCTGTCAGCAGATGTTATTTATGCATTTATCTATGTGGCTTTGATAGAATATTGCTGATTTTAATCCACTGTATTTAATATATTTACATATTTCCAGTGACTGAGCGGTCACAGAGTAATGGGAATATTGACAGGTCTGGTTCTAAGCCCTCAGCCATAAAGTGGACTTTAGTGATGAGCATTTGAAATAAGGGGACTGATGGGAAGCTGGCAGAAGTTGTTCTCCATTGAGCAGAGACCGAAAGAAAAATCTTGGAAGATTGGAAGAAAAGCGCAAAGGCGTTTACATGGATGAAAAGCACCACTGTGTTTGCCTGGGGGGGGAAAATATCTTGCTGCAAACCAGGCCTATTTTCTTCAAATAATCTCCAAGGAAACAGCCTCTGCTAAGCGAGGATCTGATTACCAGTTGCAGGCCTCAGACCATAGCCATTACTGTTTTAACATTTCTGCCTGCCTCTTTTTAACCAGGCTGTATGGGCTGCTGTGTAACTTGACCTTGCTTGGAGATAAAAAGACAGGTTAGCACACCGCAATCGCAAAGCCAGAAGCAAAAAGACAGTATTTAGAAAATAAAGGAAGGAGCTGGCACAGTATGATTATGTGTAATGTTCTACACTGTGCGGCGTGGGTGGCCTGATGAACAGTTCCTGTCCACAAAACCCAGACAGAAACTTGGACTTGGTCATAGATCCTCCATTTTTAACCTTGTCAATGCAGAGATGCTGTGATTTTCATCCCTGACATACTAATGATAATGATGTCCTGCAACATTTGAGATGATGAAAACAAGGAAAGGAAAATGGAAGGAAAAAAATAAATCTACATAAAATTTTAGTGCTTTCAGTAAACGAATAGTGAATCAGCAGAAAGAGCTGGATATGAATCTTTAAGTCTTTTTTCCTGTTTTACTACTGTCCTCTGAGCTTTCCATGCAACAAGTCAGTGAGCCAAGAGGTCAGCAGCAATTAGGCATGACATGTCTTAAAGTGTCTCAGGGATGCTAAAGGAAATTAATGCTCAGTGATTAAGCATTCAGTATCTAAAAGCCGAAAAAAAGTGTAAAGGGAAAGATTCTGTTACGATCAGTCATGGGCGCTCAAACTGGTAGGACAACTGTACCACCACACCAGTGGGCACTGTCAAAACCCAACCAAGCCACAGCTGCGAGGACACGAGGTCCCAGCTAAATCATGTGGAGGCAAAGTAAGTGATAGATTTCCTTTGGCTTGTCTCAAGCACCGCCTTATCTCACAGAATCAAAGCAAACCAAAACTCAGCTATGATTTCATAAAGATTTCAAGCCAAGAGCAGTAGAAGTGTGTTTTTTCATATCAGACCATAAGGCAGATAATAAATATCTGAGGTTCTGATCGCTGATAACTTCCTACATAAGCACGGGCAGAAAATACAATTTCTGTAATCAAGTTTCCTGACAGATAATGCCACATCGTTCTTCACACATCCTTGCTCTCTCTGACATCTTTAGGTTATAAGCTCTTGTGGTGCTCTGATCACAGAGCATTTTAATACTATTACAGTACGCATCAGATCAGAGAAAGGATTTGCAGCTCAATTAGCTCGAGTTACGTGGGACTTCTGGTTGCATTCTTGCCTTGAATTTTTAATGGCTCCTCGAAATTACACAAGATTCTGATTAAAAACACAACAAAACAACCTGTGGTCTCAGCTGTACTGATGTCAGTGGAAGGAACTAGTGCTTGTGAAGAGGTGGCTCATTTGCAGTTTTCTAAACCCCAGTTAGTTTTTACAGATGTTATTTACAAATAGCAGAAAACATTTTGAATCTTGGGCCTTTGGAGTCATTGAGACCAAACCAAGGATTAAGCTGCTTGGGCCATCAAACCTGACTTTGTTCTGCAAATAGAAAAATTATGTCCCCGGACCCACCTCAGAAATGCTTGAGATTCTCAACAGAGACGACTGCATGATGTGTTTGGAAAGCTTTATTTTCCTTATCATTTTACCTTGTGTGAATTGTGTATGCTCAGGGTGACCAAAAAGCAAAAATCCCCAGAGAACATACCAGCATTAAGCCTCGTTGCAGCATCCTGCCACAGTTAAATGGTTCTTTTTTTAACTACTTGGAAAAAAATAAATGTGCTTTCTTTCTGTTTTTCCCTCCTTCCAGACTCTGACGGCACCCGCTCCATTTGCAGACGAAACAAGCTGTCAGTGCCAAGCTCCCCATGAGAAGCTGACCATTGCACAAGCCCGTCTGGGAACACCAGGTACGTGTAGATCACACCAGCAGGACCACGAGTGCTCCCAAAGCATAGGCTCCCCCTTACAAACATCTGGCAATGCTCACTTGTGCCTTCCACTTGGAAGCAGAAAGGTCAGCTTGGTATCTGGTGCTATCAGGTAGCGAAGGAGAAATCAGCAAGTATAGGACCATTATCTTCTGTTAGAGAAACAGGAGAAAACATTTCAAGCTTTCGTGGATGTCTGCATGTTGGTCAAAAGGAAGACTTGCCAGTCCACTCCAGCCAGCCTGAAAATTGTGTTCTGTAGTGCCTACCTCCTGGGTTCTCTTCCTATACTGCCTCTGTATGCTGAAAAACTCCTGTTTCACTGACCTTCTTGTTGATCACATCAGACCTTAAGTGCCCTTAAAGGCCATTTGCCCTTTGCATAGAAACCATGCCAAATTTCTTTATCTGGACATTTGTGACTGGGCTGGGGAAACAGGATGATTTCACATAAAGTCCCAAATACATACTTCATCCCCTCTAAATTCTAAGATACTATTTTTTCAAAGCCTTTGTTTACTTATTTTACTTATTCAAAGTAAGCTTTTAAAGTACATACACTATATAAGGGTAAGCTGCAGCTTTCCAGTCAGCTCTGCAAGGAACAATGTTCTCCCGTGGACCCTTGAATGTCCTGACAGCAGAGGCATCCCTGTGTAGCACTGAAGCACAGTCCACAGAGGTTGGAGCTCTGTTCCTCTCATCTCTGCTGTCCTTTCTTGGAGGTGGCAAAGCTGTCAGGCGTGTCATTTGGTGAAGCAAGTCTTCTTTCTGTCTGGAGGCTGCTGCTGAAGATGACTTACAGAAAGCAAGATTTATGAGTGACAGCAGGATGGTGAGAAAAAGAAATGATAGGCTCGTTAGAGAGAAGATCTTGTGGGAAGTATGAAAAAGGGGAAGTGAAAGGTTTATGCAGAAGAGGTAAGCAATACATTTTTACAGCAGTAAGCTGTGGAAAAAAGAAAGTCACAGACAAGAGGGGAGGAAAAGAGAAATGGTAGGAAAAAACAAGGGGAAAAAAAAAAAAAATTCAGAAGGCAGAACTGACTGGAAAGGCAGAGAGAAAAGAACAAGACATATGGTGGAACTCCAAATGAGGCAGGAAGATGACATTTTTGCTAAATTAGAATACAGGGATGATGGATGATAATAAATAGGCTAAGTCTGAGAGAAAACAGCAGAGAGTACAGAGAAGAACAAGTAATGAGGAGGATAAAACACTGCAAGTTCACCTGTGGTGCTTTTAAACATCAGAACTGGGGTAAATCTCCACAGTCATCTGACCTGGGAACAAAAACCTGTCCAGTAGAATTAAGTGCAGCTTGCTTTGGATCTGAAAAATCACTGTTGTGTTTCTTTCTCCACAGTTGACAGACCTGTCAGAGTGTATGCAGATGGGATATTTGACCTCTTCCACTCTGGCCATGCTAGAGCTCTTATGCAAGCCAAAACTCTATTCCCAAATAGCTACTTATTAGTAGGAGGTAAGATCAGAGTTATTTATTGTGCTGCATTTTTGCTTCTGTGCTTCAGTATCAGAGTTATTGCCATGCTTGCACCCCCAGCTGTTTATACACTATGACTTTGAATGCTACTTTCACTCTGGGGGCTTTCTATAGGCGATTTGCCTTGAATTACGTCGTACAATTGCATCAATTAAAGTAAAAGTCAAATTCTGCCCTCAGCAGCACAGGCACAATTCCCATTCTAGTTAAAGCAGGTGCCTGCATGACTCTGAGCTTAGAATAGCTCCATATGAATAATTTACCTTTTTCAGCTGTTCGCTCAAAATTGTTCAAAGATGGAGATGAGTGAATGAGATCAACCACTCATTTATTTCTGGCTCCTCGGTCCCTCTGTCAGCCGAGCACAGCCCACGGCCCCTGGCTGCCAGGTCAGTACTCTGTGTGCAGACCCAGCCTTCGACATCAGCAGAGAACTTAAATCTGGCCCGTTATCTTTGGAGACACAGATGTAGGTCAGGATTTGAACATAATTCTCAGCTCACCAGTATCCCCAGGCAGGTTACTTTCTTACCACCTTTTTTGCCATGAATATCTTCCTTTTTTTGCTGTGCGGCTGGCTGGCAGCTGTTCAGCAGTTGGTACAAGCCTGAGGAGTCACTGGAGGGTGGCTGCCCAAGGCTTGTTCTCCTGAGGCCTCATAAACATGCATTTCAGTTCCAATTTCCCTGCACCTTTGGGTTTGAGATATGCCTCACATAAACATTTCACGGCAACCTTCAGCTGCTCAAGTGCTTACAGCAGGGATGATAAAGCAAATGTGAGTACAACCTTCAGACATATAAGATACATTCTTTTTTATCTTTGTCCCATATCAGTTAAAAGGTGGGGGAAAAAAGACCCAACATAGAGTAAAAGCAAAAATCTCCTTACAAACACAATCCTTGGTTTTACTCTTTAAGTTTATGAATTGTGGCAGTTCCCGTGAAGCTTCCTGGGAGGAGAACTTAAAGGAGATGTTCCTTTGTTATGAAGGAAACATTTAGGACACTCTTGTT